ATCCAATAAGTGATTTATTCTTATTATAAAAGATAAATAAATATAATAATATAAAAAAATATTCTATTAGTAAAAAAAAATTATATTTAATAAGATTTATACATAAGACTTTCTAGAGCATCTAAAAATTTCCTAACATCCTTTACTATACCAAATCATATTTAATCATTTACAGATTAGTTAGATTTTTAATAATTCCAAAAAAAATCTATAATTTTCTATCAAAAATCTACCTTTATATCATAATTTTTTTATAGCTTCATATTTCTATCTTTAGTATATATATATATATATATATATATATATATATATAAAGTCTTGGCTTCCAAAAATCCCTTTATTTTGAATAAAATGTTCATATTGTAGCAAAATCCTTTCAAAACATTTTCTTCCCACAAAAGATTTTTTTCTCCAAACTTTAGAATTTCATATCTCTTGATCCAACTATTCAATTTTTTTCAAATTTCTAAATAATGTAGCATTTATTTTTAAGCTTTATCACAAAAAAATAAACCATAAATTTATTGTCAATTATTTGGCATCTTAGGAATCCTAGTGGATATTCTAAATCCTAATTTACAAGCATCTGAGTAATATTTTCTTCATATCTCAAAAATCCAAAACTCAAATGCCATAAAATTTGGAATGAAGCTTTATAATATAGTAATAAATTTTTTTAAAAAAAATTAGCTAGAGATTTTTCTAAACTCATGAGATATGGTTAGAACCAAATTCTTAATGAAGTTGCTTCACTAACAAACCTCAATTCAAAAAAACTATCTTTAAACAATTATTGTTTCTTTAAACCAACTCTAATTTTTTCTTTTACATGCAAAATATAGTTCTTTAAATCAAATTTCTAACCACATAATCTTATCTTCAAAAGTCCTTCAAACGCATGTGCTATGTTCTAAAGAGTGGCAATAGATACAAAATCAATATCTTGACTTTGAGCATCTATATCTCTTTTACAAAAATTCCAAATCTCACAAAATTTGTGCCAAAAATATATCCAAAATCCTAAACTTGATAATCTTAACTTTGGATATTTGATTGTCTTCAAAAAAGTAAGCAAACTTCCTTATAAGATCTCAAGCAACTTCTTTGAAGCCCATTGGGCATGACTTTTGGCAAATAAGAATAGAGATTTTTATCATCTATCTCCATTCATCCATATAGATGGCTTAACTATTTTTTTATATACAACAATCATTTTTTGATCCTTTTTTTTAATAATTTTTATATAATATGTGTCCTACATACCAAATAAAAAAACAAAACAAGATTTTAAGAGTCACCAATGTCTAATAAAGGTAGTTCTAAATATATTTTATAATAAATTTTATATTATATATATATATATATATATATATATATATATATATATGTGTGTATTTTTTTATATGGTAGCTAAATCATAATACAACATCTACTCCTTTCAAACTTTTTCATCTTCCAATATACACTAAAAAGAATCAAAGTTATGGTCGACATCATATTACTTCCTTAATATTGTTTTTTTCATGATCCATTTTTTTTTCTTCATTTGTAAAAAATCAATGTCTTTTCTAATATCTTCTCCTGTTATATCTTAATTTCATTCCTTAAAAAAATTTATATACTTTTTTAGCAACTGGAATCTTAAAGAATCTTAAAGTATTTCCTAAATATATATGTGGCATTATGTAGAACGTTCACAAACATATAAGGTCCAAACTAATACTTTTATTTTTTTTTTGCAAAGTACTATATAACTTATTTAAATTTCTGTCATAAATCAATACCTAATTACTTTTAAGAATTTTTTGTAGTCTTAATTAATGTTATCATAAATCAATACCTAATTACTTTCATGAATTTCTTGTGGTCTTAATTAGTGATGCTTTTCAAATGTGTCATTATTTAATTTTTATAATTTCTTCTAAAAAATCTTCTAAACTTGTTTCTATATACATATCTATTATCTTATCATCTTTATCAAGCATACTTATTATTTTTAGGATTTTTTTAGATTTTTATATACTTTTTTCTATTTTTATAAATCATTAAATCATGTGTATACAACAAATTCATTCTTAGATAATTTTACAATATCTCCATAAAAGAAACTTTTTTTTCTACGTAAGAGTACCTTCTTTGATGTACCACTATATTTCCTCTTTATAGTGGTACTTTGCAAAAATCTTTAAATTTTTCATTAAGCTTTGGAAATGAATTACTCCATAAATAGTCTCAATTATGCTCATAGTTAATAGGTATAGCTAGGTATTATATTGCTTTCTTGCCATCAAGGCTTTTGATAGAGGCATATGCTAATCTATCATTCAACATCTTAGTCTCTATCGTCATAGCTGTAATATATGGTTGTCTAGGAATTATTGGATATGAAATAGTATCTTAAACAAAAAAAAAAAAATCAATAATTACATCTTCAATTTTCACCTTTATATAAAGACAAGTACCATAAAGATCCTCTTTCAAATTATTTGTTGCCCAAATCACCCAACTATATTCAATGTCAATGGACCACCTTCCACATTTGTAAATTTCTTTTGACATAATAATAATTTCAGATCTATAGTCAATAAGAGAAATTATTGGATCTATTAAGTCTTCTATCTTTACCAAGGTCTTTATTGTAGCTCTAGCTCAATGATTTCTAATATAGTAACTAAGGCCCTTTTCATCAACCTTGTCTTCATTCAAAGAAAATTGAATCTTTTTATTAATATAACATTTAGCCAATTCTACTTCTTTTTCTTCTATCAATGTTATATCCAAAATATTAGATACTATAGATTTTCCTATTAATTGTCTTTTTTGTTTAATAATATCAATAAAGATATCATGAATTTTTTTTCTACAATGTCTAAAATTTTGTATAAAGTAAACTTAATTTTGGCATTCAACACTCTTTCTTTTAGCTTCCTTTTAAATCTGTAGCTACCTCAATGTCTGATTGTAACTTATAAGTAGCAAACTTATTCTTATCTTTGTTTTTACTAGTTTTCATTCTTTCTTCTCATTTTTCTTTTGGTAGTGGTGTATTCCTAAGGTGTAATATTGATGGTCCAATTCCAAATGGTCTATTATCCTATAGTATAGGTATCTCCTTATTTTAAATTATTTTTTCATCTTTTTGAGATTTTTTTTTTTGTCATTAATGTTTTTTTGTTACATTTCTACCCCTTTTCATGTCCACCAAAGCTTTATGTTGGAATTTTACCAAATAAGCATGTACAAACATGACATCAACAAGATAATTTTATCTTGTAGCATTCCTAATCATTGTAGCTCTCTTAAGCAAATCTTTCTTTGGTATTTTTTCTTTAACCATATTAATTATGGCATGGTTCCATAAATATTATGTTTCTACATGCTTGTTAAAGATATCCTTCTTTTTTCTTACTACTTCAATACCATAAGAGATAGCTTCTCTTGATGCCATAGCTTATTGAGACAAATGATCATTTAAATCCTTTCTCATTCTTCTTTTTTCAAAATTAGTTTTAAGGAAATCATCTATATTTCATAAAACAATCTTTTCATCTTTCTATAAAATTACTCATTATTGCAAAGTATCAGTAAAATCTCCAAACTCCTTGCAAAGATGTTCAATACTATTACATCAAATACATCTTTGTATACATTATGGCTTTGATATAGATTTTTTCTTAAGTTTTCATTCTTTTTCCTCTAATTTTTCCAATTTGATTTGTAATTCTTTTATTGCTTTCACCAACTCTTCAATTACATCTTTTTGAGGTGCAATTGTAGACATAGGAATAGAAGCAGTAGATATTAGTATAGTAGCTTGTGATAGTTTCCTACTAGATATTGTGATTGATGGAGGCCTAGTTTCTTGTCTTATAACCACCTTACTTCTCTAATATTTTCTTTTAGAAAGTATATCCATTGCTTTAGAGACCTTCGAAAGCCCTTCATATGCACTCGCTATGTCCCAAAGAGTGATAGTAGGTACAAAATTAATACCTTGATTTTGAGCGCTTATAATGCTTTCATAAAAACTCCAAATTATTAGTATATATATATATATATATATATATATATATACCAAAATTATACCCAAAATCCTAAACTTGACAACCCGAACATTAGATATTTGAATATCCTTGAAAGAGTAATCTTAATTCCTAATAAGGCCTCAAACAGCCTCCCTAAAGCCTATTGGGCATGACTTTTGCTCGATAGAAATAGATATTTTCATCATCCATCTTCATTCGTCCATATGGATGGCCTAACTATCCCTTTTTATGCAACAAGCTTTCTTTAATCCTTTTTTTAATAAATTTTTTGTAATATGTGTCCTATATATCAAATAAAAAAAAACAAAACAAGATTTCAAGAGTCACTAATGCCTAATAAAGGTGGTTCTAATTATATTATATAGTAAATAATACATTAAATATATATGTGTATTATTTTTACATGGTAGCCAAACCTTCATATAACAATGGTTCTTGAATAGAGACAATTTTGTCAAACACATCCACTTTAAAATTGTTGATTAAGATGCTGCCGATGTTATAATATCTATAAAAATATGATGTATCAGTGTGGTCGGAATGAAGTATAGTGCTGTTGCACGGATTCGAGAGCTATGACTTAATAAACTCTTTAGCCCACTCAACAAATAGATTCTTCCTCAATCGGGTTTCACCGTCTTAATAGTCCTTGGCTTATGAAACAATCTTTATATTCTTCTAGTCTTTTTTTCGACCATGCATAAGGTCCACTAGCATCTTCTATTGACGAAGCTCCCAAATCTTGATTGCAAGAGAATCCACATCTACATGCTCCTATGTCTCATTGACTCGGCTCACAATGTCGCTCTAGAAACTTATTGCCAATTTGCCGTCAAGAGAGAAAATCCACAGTGATTCTTTTGCCATCAAAACCATCTCGTAGCACACAATACCAACTCGACCAATCATCTGTACCACCGACAAATACCTCGACACTTTGTTGCTGCTATCGCAATGCTCGAGTCATCCAAGGTATCAGCAGCAACTTCGTCTATGATGACTTGACTAAGATCAGAGATAATAAAAAAAATAAAAAAAAAACACAATACAAACAATGGCGTTTGGGTACTTCTCTGGTCAATGACACTTATGTGCAGCAGCAATAGTGTCATTGATCAGTTGCCAATGGGTGATTATCGCAATTTGCTGCTGCACATAGTGTCATTTCTCAGCTCTTGGACATGGTGTTTTTTCAGACGAGCGTGTAAAAGCTTCCGAAGGCAAATTGTCCAGGTTTAAAGTAGCAGAAGGAGTTGAAATCGGTCCAATCCGAGTGTGGCCGTGCGGCCCCTGTCTCTCGAGATCAATTGGAGACTTGGATGTTGGCGATTACATTGTGGCTGTGCCTCACGTGAAGCAGATCAAAGTAAGAAGGCATTCGAATGTACCCATTTCCAAAAATCTATTTCGTCTTTGATTTCTTTCAGTTATGAGATACATTTCCTGAAGGAATTTGGAGTGAATAATGGGTTTTAGTCTGAATCGGGAAAACCCTTTCAGACCCAGAAATGCATTTCTCCTCGGACATAATGGCAAGTTTTAGATTTGAGCATTCAAAAGTGGTGCCTTTCTGTTTTGCCGTAGCTTTCACCTGCTGGAGGCAGGCTTATTCTTACGTCGGACGGAGTTTGGGACGCCACTTGCACAAAGAGAGCTGCAAAATTCTGTCGCGGGGTGCATCATCCAGAAACTGCTGCTAGATATGTAGTGAAGGTGTGCATTTTCCCTTAGCCAGATTGCATTACCACACTTACCCCAAGATAAACTTGATTCACAAAGAACGAAACTTTTTTACATCTGTGACTGAAGTCATCTGCTTGAGGCTTACATTTTATTGCATGAGCTGAAGAGATGATTCCTTTACCCCTACTCAAGTCCTGTTTAATTAAGAAATCTTACCAATAACAACTTCGGATTGAATCTATTTTCTCTAAGAGCATGGAAGAACCTCAAGAGGAATGTTCATCATTTTGCAACTGGGTTAACGAATACATCAGTAGTCTTCATTTGCAACCATGGTCCTTGTGACATGCGAAATCAATGTTCTAAATGGTGAGTGGGTTCAGAAAACCTCTGTTGCAACGAAGTGTAAGATCGCAAAACAGAATCCTACATATATTTATTTGGCTGACAAAGACTTGAGTCAGTTCTCGATATTGGCCCAGAGAGTCATAAAAACTCATGAAATGTACTTAGTTTTTGTGTGTATGGAGGCAGTGAGAAGAATCGTACGGGATTCCAGGAAGCATAAAGAAGTCGTGGATTACGAGATGATACGACTTGTTTAGTGGTGGATATTGCACCACTCGGTTCTCAACCTTTTGCACCACCACTTAAGAAACAAATGCGGTTCTTGAAGATGTTTCGCTGTACCGCGGTGAGGGAAGGACAGATTGCCAGTGATCTATCCATTATGGAGGAGCTTTTTGAGGAAAACTCAGCAGAACTGACTGAAAGGCAAGTACACAAATTTTGCTCCTCATCGGTACTCGCAGACAAAAACACACGTACCGAGCTTCACTTTGGCCGTTCCAGTAGTGCTTTTGTAGAACGTCCTTGTCCAAACATGCGCTCATTTCCTCCAGGCTTCCATTCCTGAATTTATCAATTAATTTATCAATTAACTAATTTTTATTTTTTTCGTCCATTGAGGCAGGTTGGGACCAGAGATTGTGCATGCTGGAAACGGTCTGTCCCTCCAAGTTGCAACTTGGAGAGAGATGCACAAATCTTTGTACATGCAGGATCATACTTTTCATCGGCTAGAAAGGATTGGAATGGTAAAGTTTCATGTACCGAATGCAAGAACAAACACAATGCAGGAACAGGACGATGACCGCCTCGCGATGAGAAAAATGCATCTATCACTCCCAAGCCACCAATACTACAACTGAACAACGCAGGGGGAGCAGAACACAACCTCGTGAGGAGTATCAAACTTCGGTGCATCCTCTGCGAGGTATTGAAAAATTGTTGCTAAACCTGCACAACTGGTGGCTTCGAACTCATTCATCATCAGAGGCAGCGCAGAGTAAGCTATGGTGGCCAAGCAGGCAAGAAACAAGCTCTGGGTTGTCTTTGCGTATTTCATTGTTTTCATTCACGGCTCACAAGTAGAAACAGATGACCATGCAATGCCAGGTGCACACAGTTTCTGGTATCTCCGGAAGCTCTTGTGTGTTTCTAACACTGTCTTTGCACGCACCCATAAATGGTCTCGACATAGATTTTGAGGATTGAAGATTAGTGTAGAAAATGTAATTGACCTTGGATGGATGTAAAATGAATGGGCGCATCTTTTTATGTTCTACTGAGTTAAATTTTGATAATGAAGATGCATGTTTATCTCAAATTCTACTTTTAACTATGTATGAGTTGGTATGAGAATTTAATAGTGAGTTGGTTTTGGAAATATGCCCTCATGGCTGTTGTTTTGGCTTGTACCAGAATGAGTGCACACAATTAAATGTGAAATAAATCCTTAGAAATAAGGATAAATTATTGAGAATTCATAAGACTGGTTAATATGAATTATCATTCTTTACCTTTAATATTTGAGTTATGCTAAGTTAAAAGAAAAATGTGATTTTCATACAATTTAAGTAGAATTTATGGAGTACATCATCTCAAAAAATGGTTTAAACATGGACACTAATAATGTACAAATGATTATAAATGTGACACCTCTTCTAATCATGAAAGATGTTTAATGTTTATTAGAATTTTTTTATTATCATAATATATTCATAATATAATAAAGAGTTTTTCAGTTCTTGCTCTACCTACACAAATTCTGTGAAAACAAAATAAATTGGAATAGTAATATAGTAGTAATATTTTAAGGTTGAAAACAATTAGAAGCAAATACATTGGATTTTATATTAATTTCAGTGTCATAAAATATAAGAGCAAATACTAAATCTCATCCTTGTTTTTTTATTCAATATTAAAAAAAACTAAGATTAATTATAAAATTTATAATAAAAATTCTGTACTATGATAGATTTATTATTTGTAAATTTAATTAGCAAAAAGTCAATAGAATTGATTGTGAAAATTTTGTAAAAACTAACTATTATAAAAATAAAAATAAAAAATAAAAAAATCTTGTTTTAATACATTTTTAAAACAATTCCACTTATTTCTAATTTTAAAAAAAAAGGTATTTTGATAATTGTAGTTCATTTCACCAAAAATATATATATAACGTCTTGTATAAATTTCATTAGTAGTAAAAAAAATAATCAAATAATTTTTTGATAATATATATCAATACTGTAGATTTATTATTTGGCATTGTATGTAATGAATAGTCTTAGTTTTTATCACGGTTTTACATAACCCTTCATAAGAATATTATCTTAAAAATAATATTGCTAGAGATTAAATGTCCTTTACTTTTTATCCCTTAAACCAAAAATAAAATAATATAAAATACAGAAATCAAGTAATATACCAACATTTATTACATAATGTGTACACATATTTTTATTAATATATACATATTTTTATTAATATATTTATTACAAATATTTTTATTAATATATTTATTACACATATTTTTATTAATATATTTATTACACATATTAATAAAAATATGTGTACAAATATCTTTAAAAAAGAATAACATCAGAATAGAAAATGTAAATTAATATAATATATTATACCTTAAAATTTTTATATTGTAATAAGAGAATTTTCTAGCAATATACTCTTGAACTGTATCTCAAAATTGATTAACTGTACCTCCACTGCCTCTAGTTGAATAAATGCACTATTTTTAGTAATAATTATTGCAAACATCTTAAACCCTAAATTTGTTTTAAGTATTTTATTGTAACAAGGATGTTAGGGATTTTTCAAATTATATCTCTTTAATAGAAGCTGTAGCAATAAATGAATGCAAATTCATATCTTTAAGAGAATTTTCAAAATTTAAATCCCTAACATCCTTATTTTTCAAAAGAATTAAAAAATAATTGAGAAGCAAATTTAAGTGTGCACATTATTCTTTAATACACATACAAATAGTATTGTATAAAAAAGTATATTACGTGAATTCTTTTCGAAATATTATACTTGAAATAAAGAACATTAGTACATATAAAAATAAGATTAAGATTCTATTTTTTCTAATAAAATTATTTAATTAGGTACATAATAATAATGATAATCTTCTTTCAAAAAACTATGTACATTATATTAAAAATATATTATTGTTTTCAACCTTAAAAAAAATTTAAAAATGAAAACAATTTAAAATGCTAATCATAATTTAGAATTAACTTTATTTAAGGTTGAAAACAATAAAAATGATAATCATAATTTAAAATTAACTTTATTTAAGGTTGAAAACAATAAAAATGATAATCATAATTTAAAATTAACTTTATTAAAAATATTTCATGAAAATATTAAGATATGTTATTTGATTTGATTTGAATTTATTTAATTTATATTTTTGATATAAAATGAGATATACCTAATACATTCAAGGATTAGAAGATTACAATAGTTTATTTAACTTATATCCAAAAATAGAGAGAAGAGTACCAAGAACTTGGAATAATTCTTCAAGCAAGCTCATTTATAATTTTGTATGTTGAGGTATTATAGAGTTGCTATTTCTTTTGAAAAATTTATAGGAATAATAGGACTCTATAATTACAAATTTTTTAATATTTCTTTTTAAAAAATTCCAATAAATTTATCTATATTTGATAAAACCTTTCTAAACCATGCTTCTAATATAGAATGTAAGCTATACTTCATTTTCAAAGACAATTTTTTTTTTCTTTTAGTCCAAATAGCATATAGACAAAGTTTCTATAATAAAGACCACATTTTAAAAAAATATTTTAATTTAAAAGAAAGAATATATCGATATATATATATATATATATATATATATATATATACATTACAAAGCAAATGACTTTTTAGGATTTCAATTCCAAGAATTGGCTGGTAATTTATATAACAATAAGATTGTCCAATTTCAAATGTGATGGAGTTTTATTATTTAAAAATCAACGTATGAATTCATTAAATAGATATTTTTAGAACGCTTTGATCTTATATTGAAGTTGGACTTACAATCCAAAAACAATACATAAGATATTTATAAATATCTTTTTGGAAATCTTAAACAACTTAAGTAAGCTTCTATTTATGTTAAGTATACCTTATTAACATCAGAAAAATCCTAAAAAAATATTATCATACTCTAATTAATTCCAAATAAACCTTAAAAAATCCTTAATAATCCTAATTAAATACCAAATAAATCCTAATAAACCAAAAGAAATCCTAAATAATCCTTAAAATATCATAAAAAAACCTTTAAAAGAATCTTAACCAAATTCAAAGCAATTCTAAAATAAATTCTAATTGTTTCCTAATAAAATTATCAATAAAATTAAAAAATCCTAAAGAAATCCTAATTAAAATCTAATTTTTTAATCAAATCTTAATTAAACCTTTGATAAATCTTAAAAAACTATAATCAAATCCTAAATAAATTCTAAAATAAAATTTAAGACCTTAATAATTATTAAATTAACCATTGATCTTAATTTTTAAAAATTATCTACTTAAAAGTATTATTTTGAAAAAAATACACAAAATTTTAAAATAACTAAACTTATAGATTGGAAGAAAAAACTCTTAAGTTTCTTTGGTATCAATTGTCATTTTTTTTTTTTAATCTTGATATTAATCTTCCAACATCTATGACTCCCTATTGTACAATTAACTTACTCTAAATTTTTGCATAAACGTTAGAAACTAAGTCAACTATTAATTTTAAAAAAATATCATTTTAATATATTTTTTATATTTTTTAAAGTTACAAAATTTTTTATTTATCCTCAAATACTATTTTTAAGATCCTAATTTATTTTTATTTTTATAATCTTCAATCTAAAAATTTAATAAAGCTTAACTTTATAACAAATATCTAATACAACTATGTTCACAAATCTAAAAATTTTCATTTGTGTATTTGCTATAAAATTCACATAATTTACTAAAATAAAAGTTCTTTTCAATCATAAAAAAACTTAATCACTTAAAGTAATCCTAACTTTGCAAAGCTCTTACAAAATTATTATTCACTCAAATTCCTTAAATCCAATTTTTGAAGAAACCTACTAAGTTTTCTTCTTAATTATTTTTTTATAAATAAAAAAGCTCTTATTTTCCTAAATGTCCAATTTTGTATCTTAAAGTTTGGTATTGACTGAACTCCACAACCGATTCTCTCTAGGTATCAGTTTAAATAATTTAGATAATTTTTACTTAAAGTTACGCTTTACCCTCACCTGAAGATACTTACAATATTCTTTTTTGCTTAACTATTTATTTTTTTGTCTTGATTATGATCCTATGAATTAAGTAGAAGTTTTTTTTTTCTTCAAAAAAGTTATATTAATACCAATTTTTTTTCCTCATTAAATTTAATCTATATTTGCTGAAAGTAAATATTCCTAGATTGAATATCTATACAAAAAAATATCAATCCAATCATTGAGTATTAGAAAGAAATTATTATAATAGAATATATTTTTTTAAGAAA